CCCACATTAGTTGAGGATAAGCGTGTGAGTCGAGGATGAGCCCTCCAGCCTAGTCCCGGACTGGGACCCCATATTGGTTGAGGCTAAGCCCTCCGTCCTCGTCCCTGGCTTGCGTTCCTCAGGTCAAGACCTCACACCTCGGACCTCACATTGGTTGAGGATAAGCGCTCCGGCCTCGTCCCCGCCTCCGCTTTCCCTGAAACCCCATATTGGTTGAGGACAAGCACTCCGGCCTCGTCCGTGCCTTCGCCGTCTACTCAGCTTAAAACCGTGCACCTGTAACCCCATCTTGGTTGAGGATAAGCGCTCCGGCCTCGTCCCCGCCTTCGCCTTCTCACGCACCCAAGACCCCATGTGGGTCGAGGATGAGCCCTCCAGCCTCGTCCCGGACTGGGACCCCATATTGGTTGAGGATAAACCCTCCGTCCTCGTCCCTGGCTTGCGTTCCTCAGGTTAAGACCGCACACCTCGGACCTCACATTGGTTGAGGATAAGCGCTCCGGCCTCGTCCCTGCCTCCACTTTCCCTGAAACCCCATATTGGTTGAGGACAAGCACTCCGGCCTTGTCCGTGCCTTCGCCGTCTACTCAGCATAAAACCGTGCACCTGAAACCCCATCTTGGTTGAGGATAAGCGCTCCGGCCTCGTCCCCGCCTCCGCTTTCCCTGAAACCCCATATTGGTTGAGGACAAGCACTCCGGCCTCGTCCGTGCCTTCGCCGTCTACTCAGCTTAAAACCGTGCACCTGAAACCCTGCCTCCGCTTTCCCTGAAACCCCATATTGGTTGAGGACAAGCACTCCGGCCTCGTCCGTGCCTTCGCCGTCTTCTCAGCTTAAAACCGTGCACCTGAAACCCCATCTTGGTTGAGGATAAGCGCTCCGGCCTCGTCCCCGCCTTCGCCTTCCTCGGCTTGAGACCATGCACCCGGGACTTAAGCGCTCCGGCTTCGTCCCCGCCTGTGCCGTCTTCTCAGCTTCAGACCAAGCACCTGAAACCCCATCTTGGTTGAGGATAAGCGCTCTGGCTTCGTCCCCGCCTCCGCCTTCCCTGAAACCCCATATTGGTTGAGGACAAGTGCTCCGGCCTCGTCCCCGCCTCCGCCGTCTTCCTCGGCTTGAGACCATGCACCCGAGACTTAAGCGCTCCGGCTTCGTCCCCGCCTGTGCCGTCTTCTCAGCTTCAGACCAATTACCTGAAACCCCATCTTGGTTGAGGATAAGTGCTCCGGCCTTCGTCCCCGCCTCCGCCGTCTTCTCCGCTTAAAACCGTGTACCTGACAACCCATCTTGGTTGAGGATAAGCGCTCCGGCCTCGTCCCTACCTCCGCCGTCTTCTCAGCTTCAGACCAAGCACCTGAAACCCCATCTAGGTTGAGGATAAGCGCTCCGGCTTCGTCCCCGCCTCCGCCGTCTTCTCAGTTTCAGACCAAGCACCTAAAACCCCATCTTGGTTGAGGATAAGCGCTCCGGCTTCGTCTCGGCCTCCGGCGTCTTCTCAGCTTCAGATCAAGCACCTGAAACCCCATCTTGGTTGAGGATAAGCTCTTCGGCTTCGTCCCCGCCTCCGCCTTCTTCGGGTGGAGACCACGCACCTGGGAGCCCATATTGGTTGAGGACAAGGCTTCCCGGCTTCGTCCCTGCCTCCGCCTTCTTCGGGTTGAGACCACACACCTGAGAGCCCATGTTGGTTGAGGATAAGCGCTCCGGCCTCGTGGAGCCCATATTGGTTGAGGATAAGCGCTCCGGCCTCGTCCCCGCCTCGGCCGTTTTCTCAGCTTAAAACCATGCACCTGAAACCCCATCTTGGTTGAGGATAAGTGCTCCGGCCTCGTCCCGGCCTCCGCCGTCTTCTCGGCTTGAGACTACACACCTGACACCCCATCTTGGTTGAGGATAAGTGCTCCGGCCTCGTCCCCGCCTCCGCCGTCTCCTGCTTGAGAACCTGAAGCTCCATCTTGGTTGAGGATAAGTGCTCCGGCCTCGTCCTCGCCTCCGCCGTCTTCTGCTTGAGATCCCACGCCTCGGAACCCCTTATTGGTTGGGGTTACGCCCTCCCGGCCGTGTCCTTGCATCCATCTCGTTCAGCTTGAGCTCTCACGCCTTGCAACCTTATATTGGTTGAGGATAAGCCCTCCCGGCCTTGTCCTCGCCTCCGTCTTCTTCAGCCTGAGCTTCCAGATCTCGGAACCCCATATTGGTCGAGGATAAGCCCTCCCGGCCGTGTCCTTGCTTCTGTCTTCTTCAGGCAAGCCTCGCAATCCCATCGTGCTTGCAGATAATGTCACCGGACACTGACGTAAGACGATCTATGTATTCTCGCAACTCACCTTTCTTCCCGTGTTATTGCTGTGTCACGTGTGAAACAATGTCCTTCAGCTAGGTGTCCTACGGCGAATGTGTTCTCTGATCATTATCAGAGCTTCGGCCGCGCGCTCGACCACAATCTTTGTTGCTTCGAATTTCCGTCTCAGGAGTTCCTCCTGCTTCTGCTTCCGGAGCTCTGTCCTCTCCTTCTGCTTCTTCTTCTTCTCGAAAGCCCGAAGGTTCGCGATGCAGAGACGGATGGTCTTCTTGGTGTTTCTCGGAAGCCCTTGTAGATCCTGGACTGAAAAGTATTGGAGTCGCCGGCCAAAGTCGAAGTCGTCTGTGGCTCTCGAAGCCAGCATCGGGTACCTGGAGAGTGCACCGATCAGCGCTAGGTGTCCTAGCCTCAGTGCCCAATCCGAGCGTCTCGTGAACTGCGAAATGGCCAGCTTCAGGTTGTGGGGTAGACGTGTCCATTTCTTTGCTGCCGTCCGGCAAGTGCAGTTTAAGGCGCTGAAAAGTACCGGTGTATCCATCGCGTCGAGCTGTCGTGAACTACTGGTTTCTATCGCACGCCTGAGCCCCAGTTGCAGCTGTGCCACAGGCTCGCTTGCCTCCCTTTCAAAGCCACCGGTCCATGATCCGACTAGTCTGGAACATGCGTGCATAGCTGACTGTGCGATCTCTTCATCACGACGACTTGTGAAGTGTACGCCTATCCCGGCCTTGTCTTTGTGAATTTGAGGCCTCGCGCTTGGGAACATGCACCTGGGACCGCATATTCTTTGAGGATACGCCCTCCAGTCTCGTCCCGGCCTCGTTCTTCTTGAGGTTGAAGTCTCGTGCTTGGGAGCATGCACCTGGGACACCATATTGGTTGAGGACAAGCGCTCCGGCCTCGTCCCCGCCTCCGCCGTCTTCTCAGCTTAAAACCATGCACCCGACACCCCATCTTGGTTGAGGATAAGCGCTCCGGCCTCGTCCCTACCTCCGCCGTCTTCTCAGCTTCAGACCAAGCACCTGAAACCCCATCTTGGTTGAGGATAAGCGCTCCGGCCTCGTCCCCGCCTCCGCCGTCTTCTCAGCTTAAAACCACGCACCTGAGACCCCATATTGGTTGAGGACAAGTGCTCCGGCCTCGTCCCCGCCTCCGCCGTCTTCTCAGCTTCAGACCATGCACCTGACACCCCATCTTGGTTGAGGATAAGCGCTCCGGCCTCGTCCCCGCCTCCGCCGTCTTCGGCTTGAGACCACGCACCTGAGACACCATCTTGGTTGAGGATAAGCGCTCCGGCCTCGTCCCCGCCTCCGCCGTCTTCTCAGCTTCAGACCAAGAACCTGAGACCCCATATTGGTTGAGGATAAGTGCTCCGGCCTCGTCCCCGCCTCCGCCGTCTTCTCAGCTTCAGACCAAGCACCTGAAACCCCATCTTGGTTGAGGATAAGCGCTCCGGCCTCGTCCCTACCTCCGCCGTCTTCTCAGCTTCAGACCAAGCACCTGACACCCCATCTTGGTTGAGGATAAGCGCTCCGGCCTCGTCCCCGCCTTCGCCTTCTTCGGCTTGAGACCACGCACCTGAGACCCCATCTTGGTTGATGATAAGCGCTCCGGCCTCGTCCCCGCCTCCGCCGTCTTCGGCTTGAGACCACGCACCTGAGACCCCATCTTGGTTGATGATAAGCGCTCCGGCCTCGTCCCCGCCTCCGCCGTCTTCTCAGCTTCAAACCATGCACCTGACACCCCATCTTGGTTGATGATAAGCGCTCCGGCCTCCGCCGTCTTCTCAGCTTCAGACCAAGCACCTGAAACCCCATCTTGGTTGAGGATAAGCGCTCCGGCCTCGTCCCCGCCTTCGCCTTCTTCGGCTTCTGGGCTGCTGATCTCGAATCCCACAGTGGTTGAGGATAAACGTTCCAGTCTCGTTCCGGCGGCCTTCTTCGGGCTGGGACCGCGGACCCCGAGCCCCATAGCGCTCTGGCCTTGCTCCCGGAGTACCTGCGACGCCGTATTGGTTGAGGATAGGCGAATCTCTCGGCATGCGAGCCTTCGGGACTCGTCCGTGTCTCCGCCTCCAACGTTGTTCCCGCTGAGACTGAGCACCTGTATGCCCGACTGCGACATGATGGAGGAGCGCGGCCGCATGTGACGCACCAGGCCCTCCTTGCACCTTTTTGCCTCGCCTAGGTGAGTGAAGCTCGAGCCGTTCAGCGCATTGCGCAGTCTAAAACTACTCTGGTGACACTAAAACGTTCTCTCTCGCCGCGAGCCGCCGTCCACTCCACCAGATCGTTCTTGAAGAAGAAGATTGTATGAGCACGTCCCAGCCGTCGTCGAGGAGCTGGAATGCCGTCTTGGCGTCTGCTGGCAAACGCGAACAACGGTCCGGTGCAACCGGTTCCTGCCGGATGCAGCAGGCCCTCTTCCTCGCCGCCGTCCTCGTAGGTGAGGTAGAGTTCCATCGTGCCCTCATGCTGCTTGGCACTCCGTGCGCAGAGAAGCTTCATCGGTTCGTCGCGCCTCCAGACTCGGAAGTGGATTTCCGTATAGCCTGAGCGAAGGAACTCACGGGCGTCGAGGAGGGCTTGTCGAAGTAGGTTCACGTCGCTGTACTGGACGCGATCCTCTGGCAGCTCCACGTCGTCGCTGACGATGTATCGCCCTAAAGACTGCTCTGACAACATGGCGGGGTCCTGTTGGACACTGCGCAGGTCTCGGCGAGCCTTGTCGCTCTTGGGCAAGTTCTCTTGGGCAACAGCTTCGCGTGTCGACACACATAGCTCTTTGCACAACCAGGCCCCTGAGACTGCGATTGGTTGGGGATAAACCCTCTGGCCTTGGCCCGAGTCTCGTTTCCTTCGGGTTGAGACCGCGCACCTGGGACTACGCACTTCTTCAGTTTGAGCTTCCGCACCTCGGAACCCCATATTGGTTGAGGATAAGCGCTCCCGGCCTCGTCCCTACCTCCGCCGTCTTCTCAGCTTCAGACCAAGCACCTGACACCCCATCTTGGTTGAGGATAAGCGCTCCGGCCTCGTCCCCGCCTTCGCCTTCTTCGGCTTGAGACCACGCACCTGAGACCCCATCTTGGTTGATGATAAGCGCTCCGGCCTCGTCCCCGCCTCCGCCGTCTTCGGCTTGAGACCACGCACCCGAGACCCCATCTTGGTTGATGATAAGCGCTCCGGCCTCGTCCCCGCCTCCGCCGTCTTCTCAGCTTCAAACCATGCACCTGACACCCCATCTTGGTTGATGATAAGCGCTCCGGCCTCCGCCGTCTTCTCAGCTTCAGACCAAGCACCTGAAACCCCATCTTGGTTGAGGATAAGCGCTCCGGCCTCGTCCCCGCCTTCGCCTTCTTCGGCTTCTGGGCTGCTGATCTCGAATCCCACAGTGGTTGAGGATAAACGTTCCAGCCTCGTTCCGGCGGCCTTCTTCGGGCTGGGACCGCGGACCCCGAGCCCCATAGCGCTCTGGCCTTGCTCCCGGAGTACCTGCGACGCCGTATTGGTTGAGGATAGGCGAATCTCTCGGCATGCGAGCCTTCGGGACTCGTCCGTGTCTCCGCCTCCAACGTTGTTCCCGCTGAGACTGAGCACCTGTATGCCCGACTGCGACATGATGGAGGAGCGCGTCCTTGCCTGTGACTTCTTCGGCGAGCTTCCACACCTCGGAAACCCATATTGGTTGAGGATAAGCCCCTCGAAACCTATATTGGCTGAGGATAAGCTTTCCCGGCTTCGTCCTTGCCTCCGTCTTCTTCGGCTTGAGCTTCCACACCTCGGAAACCCATATTGGTTGAGGATAAGCCCTCCCGGCCTCGCCCTTGCCTCCGTTTTCTTTGGCTTGAGCTTCCACACCTCGGAAACCCTTATTGGATGAGGATAAGCCCTCCCGGCCTCGTCCTTGTCTACGTCTTCTTCAGCTTGAGCTTCCACACCTCGGAAACCCATATTGGTTGAGGATAAGCCCTCCCGGCCTCGCCCTTGCCTCCGCTCGGAAACCCATATTGGTTGAGGATAAGCCCTCCCGGCCTCGTCCTTGCCTCCGTCTTCTTCTGTTTGAGCTTCCACACCTCGGAAACCCATATTGGTTGAGGATAAGCCCCTCGGGCTCGCCCTCGCCTCCGTCTTCTTCGGCTTGAGCTTCCACACCTCGGAAACCCTTATTGGTTGAGGATAAGCCCTCCCGGCCTCGTCCTTGCCTCCGTCTTCTTCGGCTTGAGCTTCCACACCTCGGAAACCCATCCGTCTTCTTCGGGCTGAGATCACGCACCTCGGACCCCATCTTTGTTGAGGATAAGCGCTTTGGCCTCGTCCCCGCCTCCTCCTTCTCCGGGATGAGACTTCACACCTGGGACCCCATGTTGGTTGAGGAGAAGTGCTGCGGTCTCCCCGCCTCCGTCTTCTTCGGGCTGAGATCACGCACCTCGGACCCCATATTTGTTGAGGATAAGCGCTCCGGCCTCGTCCCCGCCTTCGCCTTCTTCGGGTTGGGACCCCATATTGGTTGAGGATAAGCCCTCCGACCTCGTCCCCTCCGCTTTCTTCAGGTTGAGACCACGCACCTGGGACGTTGAGGAAAAGCGTGCTGGATCGGTTGAGGATAAGCGTTCCGGCCTCTTCCCCGCCTCCGCCTTCTCCGGATTCTTCAGGTTGAGACCACGCACCTGGGACGTTGAGGAAAAGCGTGCTGGATCGGTTGAGGATAAGCGTTCCGGCCTCTTCCCCGCCTCCGCCTTCTCCGGATTGGGACCCCGTAGTTCCCGCCTCCACTTTCTTCGGGCTGTGAGATGTCACACTTGGAACCCCATATTGGTTGAGGGTAAGCGCTCCGGCCTCGTCCCCGCCTCCAGTTTCTTCGGGCTGTGAGACGTCACACCTGGAACCCCATATTGGTTGAGGGTAAGCGCTCCGGCCTCGTCCTCGCCTCCAGTTTCTTCGGGCTGCGAGACGTCACATCTGGAACCCCATATTGGTTGAGGGTAACCGCTCTGGCCTCGTCCCCGCCTCTGCTTTCTTCGGGTTGGGACCCCATATTGGCTGAGGATAAGCGCTCCGGCTTCGTCCCCGCCTCCGCCGTCTTCTCAGCTTCAGACCACGCACCTGAAATCCCATCTTGGTTGAGGATAAGCCCTCCGGCCTCGTCACCACAGGAGACTGAGCGCCGGGATCACCGCGGACCATTAAATCTAGAGATGCTTTCTTCAGGCTGAGCTCCCACGCTTCGGAATCCCATACTGATTGAGGATAAGCCCTCCCGGCCTTGTCCTTGGCTCCGTCTTCGAAAGAATGAGAACCCTCACTTGGGGCCACGCAGCCGCGACCCCATGTGGTTCGAGGATGAGTCCTCCAGCCTCGTCCCGGACTGAGACCCTATATTGGTGGAGGATAAGCCCTCCATCTTGGTCCCTGGCTTGCGTTCCTCAGGTTAAGACCACACGCCTCGGACCCCACATTGGTTGAGGATAAGCGCTCCGGCCTCGTTCCCGCCTCCGCTTTCCCTGAAACCCCATATTGGTTGAGGACAAGCTCTCCGGCCTCGTCCGCGCCTCCGCCGTTTTCTCAGCTTAAAACCGTGCACCTGAAACTCCATCTTGGTTGAGGATAAACGCTCCGGCCTCGTCCCCGCCTCCGCCTTCTTCGGGCTGTGAGACCACGCACCTGCGAGCCCATATTGGTTGAGGATACCCCGCCTCCCCCTTCTTCGGGCTGCCAGACCACGCACCTGGGACACCATAGTGGTTGAGGATAAGCGCTCCGGCCCGGTCCCTGCCTCCGCCTTCTTCGGGCTGTCTGAACACGCACCTAGGACCCCATATTGGTTGAGGATAAGCGCTTTGGCCTCGTCCCCGCCTCCTCCTTCTCCGGGATGAGACTTCACACCTGGGACCCCATGTTGGTTGAGGAGAAGTGCTGCGGTCTCCCCGCCTCCGTCTTCTTCTTCGGGCTGAGATCACGCACCTCGGACCCCAGATTTGTTGAGGATAATCGCTTTGGCCTCGTCCCCGCCTCCTCCTTCTCCGGGATGAGACTTCACACCTGGGACCCCATGTTGGTTGAGGAGAAGTGCTCCGGCCTCGTCCCAGCCTCCGCCGTCTTCTCGGCTTGAGACTACACACCTGGGACCCCATGTTGGTTGAGGAGAAGCGCTCCGGCCTCGTCCCCGCCTCGGCCGTTTTCTCAGCTTAAAACCATGCACCTGAAACCCCATCTTGGTTGAGGATAAGTGCTCCGGCCTCGTCCCAGCCTCCGCCGTCTTCTCGGCTTGAGACTACACACCTGACACCCCATCTTGGTTGAGGATAAGTGCTCCGGCCTCGTCCCCGCCTCCGCCGTCTCCTGCTTGAGAACCTGAAGCTCCATCTTGGTTGAGGATAAGTGCTCCGGCCTCGTCCTCGCCTCCGCCGTGTTCTGCTTGAGATCCCACGCCTCGGAACCCCTTATTGGTTGGGGTTACGCCCTCCCGGCCGTGTCCTTGCATCCATCTCGTTCAGCTTGAGCTCTCACGCCTTGCAACCTTATATTGGTTGAGGATAAGCCCTCCCGGCCTTGTCCTCGCCTCCGTCTTCTTCAGCCTGAGCTTCCAGATCTCGGAACCCCATATTGGTCGAGGATAAGCCCTCCCGGCCGTGTCCTTGCTTCTGTCTTCTTCAGGCAAGCCTCGCAATCCCATCGTGCTTGCAGATAATGTCACCGGACACTGACGTAAGACGATCTATGTATTCTCGCAACTCACCTTTCTTCCCGTGCTATTGCTGTGTCACGTGTGAAACAATGCTCTTCAGCTAGGTGTCGTACGGCGAATATGTTCTCTGATCATTATCAGAGCTTCAGCCGCGCGCTCGACCACAATCTTTGTTGCTTCACGCTTCCGTTTCAGGAGTTCCTCCTGCTTCTGCTTCCGGAGCTCTGTCTTCTCCTTCTGCCTCTTCTTCTTCTCGAAAGCCCGAAGGTTCATGATGCAGAGACGGATGGCCTTCTTGGTGTTTCTCGGAAGCCCTTGTAGATCTTGGACTGAAAGGCATTGGAGTCGCCGGCCAAAGTCGAAGTCGTCTGTGGCTCTCGAAGCCAGCATCGGGTATCTGGAGAGTGCACCAATCAGCGCTAAGTGCCTTAGCCTCAGTGCCCAATCCGAGCGTCTCGTGAAGTTTGAAATGGCCAGCTTCACGTTGTGGGGTAGACGTGTCCATCTCTTTGCCGCTGTCCAGCAAGTGCAGATTAAGGCACTGAAGAGTACCGCTGTATCCATCGCGTCGAGTTGTCGTGTACTACTGGTTTATACCGCACGCCTGAGCCCCAGTTGCAGCTGTGCCACAGGTTCGCTTGCCTCCCTTTCAAAGCCACCGGTCCATGATCCGACTAGTCTAGAACATGTGCGCATAGCTGACTGTGCGATCCCTTCATCACGACGACTTATGAAGTGTACGCCTGTCCAGGCCTTGTGATTGTGAATTTGAGGCCTCGCGCTTGGGAACATGCACCTGGGACCGCATATTCTTTGAGGATACGCCCTCCAGTCTCGTCCCGGCCTCGTTCTTCTTGAGGTTGAAGTCTCGTGCTTGGGAGCATGCACCTGGGACACCATATTGGTTGAGGACAAGCGCTCCGGCCTCGTCCCCGCCTCCGCCGTCTTCTCAGCTTAAAACCATGCACCCGACACCCCATCTTGGTTGAGGATAAGTGCTCCGGCCTCGTCCCCGCCTCCGCCGTCTTCTCAGCTTCAGACCATGCACCTGACACCCCATCTTGGTTGAGGATAAGCGCTCCGGCCTCGTCCCCGCCTCCGCCGTCTTCTCAGCTTCAGACCATGCACCTGACACCCCATCTTGGTTGAGGATAAGCGCTCCGGCCTCGTCCCGGCCTCCGCCGTCTTCGGCTTGAGACCACGCACCTGAGACCCCATCTTGGTTGAGGACAAGTGCTCCGGCCTCGTCCCCGCCTCCGCCGTCTTCTCAGCTTCAGACCATGCACCTGACACCCCATCTTGGTTGAGGATAAGCGCTCCGGCCTCGTCCCCGCCTCCGCCGTCTTCGGCTTGAGACCACGCACCTGAGACACCATCTTGGTTGAGGATAAGCGCTCCGGCCTCGTCCCCGCCTCCGCCCTCCGGCCTCGTCCCCGCCTCCGCCGTCTTCAGCTTCAGGCTGAGACCCCATCTTGGTTGAGGATAAGCGCTCCGGCCTCGTCCCCGCCTCCGCCCTCCGGCCTCGTCCCCGCCTCCGCCGTCTTCTCAGCTTCAGGCCACGCACCTGAGACCCCATCTTGGTTGAGGATAAGCGCCCCGGCCTCGTCCCCGCCTCCGCCCTCCGGCCTCGTCCCCGCCTCCGCCGTCTTCTCAGCTTCAGGCCACGCACCTGAGACCCCATATTGGTTGAGGATAAGTGCTCCGGCCTCGTCCCCGCCTCCGCCGTCTTCTCAGCTTCAGACCAAGCACCTGAAACCCCATCTTGGTTGAGGATAAGCGCTCCGGCCTCGTCCCTACCTCCGCCGTCTTCTCAGCTTCAGACCAAGCACCTGACACCCCATCTTGGTTGAGGATAAGCGCTCCGGCCTCGTCCCTACCTCCGCCGTCTTCTCGGCTTCAGACCAAGCACCTGACACCCCATCTTGGTTGAGGATAAGCGCTCCGGCCTCGTCCCCGCCTCCGCCGTCTTCTCAGCTTCAGACCATGCACCTGACACCCCATCTTGGTTGAGGATAAGCGCTCCGGCCTCGTCCCCGCCTCCGCCGTCTTCGGCTTGAGACCAAGCACCTGAGACCCCATCTTGGTTGAGGATAAGCGCTCCGGCCTCGTCCCCGCCTCCGCCGTCTTCTCAGCTTCAGACCATGCACCTGAGTCTTGGTTGAGGATAAGCGCTCACGGCCTCCGCCGTCTTCTCAGCTTCAGACCAAGCACCTGACACCCCATCTTGGTTGAGGATAAGCGCTCCGGCCTCGTCCCCGCCTTCGCCTTCTTCGGCTTGAGACCACGCACCTGAGACCTCATCTTGGTTGATGATAAGCGCTCCGGCCTCGTCCCCGCCTCCGCCGTCTTCTCAGCTTCAAACCACGCACCTGACACCCCATCTTGGTTGATGATAAGCGCTCCGGCCTCCGCCGTCTTCTCAGCTTCAGACCAAGCACCTGAAACCCCATCTTGGTTGAGGATAAGCGCTCCGGCCTCGTCCCTGCCTTCGCCTTCTTCGGCTTCTGGACTGCTGATCTCGAATCCCACAGTGGTTGAGGATAAACGTGCCGCCTCCAACGTTGTTCCCGCTGAGACTGAGCACCTGTATGCCCGACTGCGACATGATGGAGGAGCGCGGCCGCATGTGATGCACCAGGCCCTCCTTGCACCTTTTTGCCTCGCCTAGGTGAGTGAAACTCGAGCCGTTCAGCGCATTGCGCAGTCTAAAACTACTCTGGTGACACTAAAACGTTCTCTCTCGCCGCGAGCCGCCGTCCACTCCACCAGATCGTTCTTGAAGAAGAAGATTGTATGAGCACGTCCCAGCCGTCGTCGAGGAGCTGGAATGCCGTCTTGACGTCTGCTGGCAAACGCGAACAACGGTCCGGTGCAACCGGTTCCTGCCGGATGCAGCAGGCCCTCTTCCTCGCCGCCGTCCTCGTAGGTGAGGTAGAGTTCCATCGTGCCCTCATGCTGCTTGGCACTCCGTGCGCAGAGAAGCTTCATCGGTTCGTCGCGCCTCCAGACTCGGAAGTGGATTTCCGTATAGCCTGAGCGAAGGAACTCACGGGCGTCGAGGAGGGCTTGTCGAAGTAGGTTCACGTCGCTGTACTGGACGCGATCCTCTGGCAGCTCCACGTCGTCGCTGACGATGTATCGCCCTGAAGACTGCTCTGACAACATGGCGGGGTCCTGTTGGACACTGCGCAGGTCTCGGCGAGCCTTGTCGCTCTTGGGCAAGTTCTCTTGGGCAACAGCTTCGCGTGTCGACACACATAGCTCTTTGCACAACCAGGCCCCTGAGACTGCGATTGGTTGGGGATAAACCCTCTGGCCTTGGCCCGAGTCTCGTTTCCTTCGGGTTGAGACCGCGCACCTGAGACTACGCACTTCTTCAGTTTGAGCTTCCGCACCTCGGAACCCCATATTGGTTGAGGATAAGCCCTCCCGGCCTCGTCCTTACCTCTGTCTTCTTCAGCTTGTGCTTCCACACCTCGGAAGCCCCATATTGGTTGAGGATAAGCCCTTCCACACCTCGGAACCCCATATTGGTTGAGGATAAGCCCTCCCGGCCTCGTCCTTGCCTCTGTCTTCTTCAGCTTGTGCTTCCACACCTCGGAAGCCCCATATTGGTTGAGGATAAGCCCCTCCACACCTCGGAACCCCATATTGGTTGAGGATAAGCCCTCCCGGCCTCGTCCTTGCCTCTGTCTTCCGCGCCTCGGAAACCCATATTGGTTGAGGATAAGCCCTCCCGGCCTCGTCCTTGCCTCTGTCTTCCGCGCCTCGGAAACCCATATTGGTTGAGGATAAGCCCTCCCGGCCTCGTCCTTGCCTCTGTCTTCTTCATCTTGAGCTTCCACACCTCGGGAATTCCTTATTGGTTGAGGATAAGCCCTCCCGGCCTCGTCCTTGCCTCTGTCTTCTTCCGCTTGAGCTTCCACACTCCCGTGTCTTCTTCCGCTTGAGCTTCCACACTCCCGGCCTCGTCCTTGCCTGTGACTTCTTCGGCGAGCTTCCACACCTCGGAAACCCATATTGGTTGAGGATAAGCCCCTCCAAACCTATATTGGCTGAGGATAAGCTTTCCCGGCTTCGTCCTTGCCTCCGTCGGTCTCCCCGCCTCCGTCTTCTTCGGGCTGAGATCACGCACCTCGGACCCCAGATTTGTTGAGGATAATCGCTTTGGCCTCGTCCCCGCCTCCTCCTTCTCCGGGATGAGACTTCACACCTGGGACCCCATGTTGGTTGAGGAGAAGTGCTGCGGTCTCCCCGCCGCCGTCTTCTTCGGGCTGAGATCACGCACCTCCGACCCTTTTTTTGTTGAGGATAAGCGCTCCGGCCTCGTCCCCGCCTTCGCCTTCTTCGGGTTGGGACCCCATATTGGTTGAGGATAAGCCCTCCGGCCTCGTCCCCTCCGCTTTCTTCAGGTTGAGACCACGCACCTGGGACGTTGAGGAAAAGCGTGCTGGATCGGTTGAGGATAAGCGTTCCGGCCTCTTCCCCGCCTTCGCCTTCTCCGGACTGGGACCCCGTAGTTCCCGCCTCCACTTTCTTCGGGCTGTGAGATGTCACACTTGGAACCCCATATTGGTTGAGGGTAAGCGCTCCGGCCTCGTCCCCGCCTCCAGTTTCTTCGGGCTGTGAGACGTCACACCTGGAACCCCATATTGGTTGAGGGTAAGCGCTCCGGCCTCGTCCTCGCCTCCAGTTTCTTCGGGCTGCGAGACGACACATCACACCTGGAACCCCATATTGGTTGAGGGTAACCGCTCTGGCCTCGTCCCCGCCTCTGC